TTTGAAGTTGTGCTATTTAAAAATTGTTCTTAAAATAAACCCGATTTAAAATCCTCCCTAGGCCAGGCCCGCTTGCTGGAAAAGCCATGTCTTGAGGGCGCGGCGGAAAGTAAGGAGATCCGGAATCGTCCGGATCTCGGGGGGTAGTTCGTTCCAGAGGGTGGGGGCACCCACAGAGAAGGCCCTCCCCCTGGGGGTCACCAGCCGACATTGCTTGGCCGACGGCACCCTGAGGAGACCCACTCTGTGGGAGCGTACCGGTCTATGGGAGGGAATCTGTGGCAGAAGGCGGTCTCGGAGATACCCAGGTCCGATGCCATGGAGCGCTTTAAAGGTGGTAACTAACACCTGATATTTATGCATGATTATCAGTTGTGGGTATGTAAAAGTGCAAACAGGGAGATCAGAGTCATATGTATTCGTATAGGCCTCTGTTCATGGAATGGATCATCATGCTGTTGCTTCTGCTGTAGTGTTGACAGTTCTTTAGAATGGAATAGGAGAGTGTAGCAAAAATGTCATTAGAATCTCTTGCACAAATAGAATTGTTCATACTCCAGTAAGAATTGCTTTGATTTTAAGAGCTGTGATGACGCAGTGGTTAGAATGCAGTATTGCAGGCTAACTCTGCCCATAGCCAGGAGTTCAGTCCTGACTGGCTCAAGGTTGACTGAGCCTTCCAGTCTTCCGAGGTCAGTAAAATGAGGACCCAGATTGTTGGGGGCAATATGCTGACACTGTAAACTGATCAGAGAGTGCTGTAAAAGTTTAAGTGCTGTTGCTATTGCTATTTTAAGCCACTGTAGTATTTGGCATATTAGTACAGGAAATTAAAAGGCAATAATAATGCTGTGAGCAGTTTTAATGTCTCATTAAGTGCAACAAGGTATTATTTTGAAATGGATTGGTGATATAATTCAGTGAAGTACCTCAGGGACCATCAACACACGTAAACACATGTAAATGTTTTAATAACAGAAAACCGTCATCTAACTGTAACTATAGTGTAGTAAATAGTTCACATCTAAATCAGTTTACCTTACTGAATAAACTACGAAGTACTGTTTTCTGTGTATTATCTCTGGAAGCAAAACCTGGAATAGCATACATTAAATAACTAAATATGGCAAAATTACTTTCAATTTCCATAGAAAATTATCTTTCTGATAAATGTTTATTCTTAAATTAATATAAATAGAGGTCATTCTTTTTTCATTCACACAAGTTTACAATGGAATTGGTATTTTTTATTGATTTATTTTAGACTTTTTATAAAGGTGACCAGGATATATAATAATCTTTCTTTCTCCTATTTTCCCTGGACTGAGAAAGAGTGATTGGCCCGAAATCACCCAGCTAGTTATCATAGCTGTGGCGGGACTAGAACTCACAGCCTCCTGCTTTCTAGTCTGGTGCCTTTACATAAGTATTATCTTACAGGGCACGAAAAATTGCTGTGTAAATTTCACAGTATATACAATATGCAGTTTCAATTATGTAACAGTAATAGCAAGAGACGAGAAAAGTAGAGTTATACTAATAAAACAATCAAGACTTGTGTTAATTAGAATTTTAACAATTTGATAAGAACAAAGTTGTTATTTAAATACAATATGCTAATTTAAATTATAAATATCAGTGTGTTTATTAAATGAGAAAATGGTTACTATGTTTATCATGGCTTGTTAAGACATGGCTTCTGTGCATCTTAGTATCGCATTAATTTAAAACTATTCTTTCTAATTAAATAATAGAAATTGCATTGCATTGCACAATCCACTTGGATTGTATGGGTTTGTTTCTTTTTAGTTCCTGTTCAGTTCTTGTCATCTTTACCTTTTTAATTCTTTTGTTTGTGTCTCTTATTATATTTAAAAAAATATTTTTCATTCTGAAATGCCCACATTTGTTGGGCATCAGACAGCATAATCATACTAATCACTTGCGTCATCTAGAACTGGGATGGAATTATATGTCATTTTTGAATGAAGATATATTTTAGATTAGCGTTTAATTGTGCTAAATGTATAATCATTCCAAATTATAAATAGATTAATTAGAATTTTTCAACAAAGTTGGTGACAGCAATCATACAATTTGTTCTTCACTTGTGCTTGCAAGTGGATACATCACTTGCAAAAATAAAACATTAGACAGCATTGGTATTATTATATGGCAATTTCATACCTCCAACAGAGTACTTCTGACAGGATTTTATAGATTAAAATGGTAGAACCTACCACTTTGGCTCTAGTTCTGGTCCTTTTCCCGGATATATCCCGGCGTAGTTTTGATTGGGTTTTGTTAAGGGTTTTATATTTTAGAGCAGGCTTTTATGTAATATTTACTGTGATTTTTATTATTGCCTGTTCACCGCCCTGAGTCCCGTAAGGGAGATAGGGCGATATATAAATTTAAATAATAAATAAATAATAAATAAATAAATAAATATTTTGGGTCAGCTACTGGTCCACCTGTAGAGCTTGAGAAATGAACAACTGTTGACTCAAACTGCTGATTTAACATGAAGAATCATGCTAGTCTTGTTCAGCATTTGCTTATTTTGTTTTATTTAGTCACTTTGCTTGCTTGTCACACATTCCCAAAGGCATGCAGTTATCCTGAGCTTAGTTTCCTGCTACAGGCAATTGCTGTCTTTTCCTGCAAAGAGTGTCAGCCTTTGACAGTCAGGTCGGGCTTACTTCCTTCTAGACAGATTACAAGTTGCAAGGACTGAGGCAAGATAGTGCCCAACCAAAGTCCATCAGTTAACTGAGGTAGCAAGAAAGAGAAGAAGAATGGATGCAAACAGTCTATAAGGCAAGAGTTACACCAGTTTATCACAAAAGCATGCAAGCACTGGGTCCTTTCCCTATGGCAAGAAGGAATCATTTCTGAGGCTTCCCTGGTGTCAGCTCATCCTTTGATTATGACTCCTTTATAGAAGCCAGGCCATCTCTTCAGTCACATTTCCAATGTAATTAAGCTGCTCATTGCTCCATTCTTGCTGAGTAGAACATATGAAGGAAGATATTAGCAGTGCTACTGTCTGCCTGTTGATTCTGCAATCCATTCCTGTCTGAATTAGACTAGGTAGATTTAATGGCCTTTTCAGTACTGTCTTCCTAAATTTGCCGGCAAAAGATGCTTGATTCCACTCCTACCCAATTTTACACAGCATATCAGAATATTTCTATTTTAGCAAGTATTTGAATTGGATAGCGACTTAGTACAGTGGTTTCCAAACTGCTCCATGGTACTCCCGATGCTGCTATGATCTGACGGGCACCACAGGACTTTTTTTTTCTTACTAAATGAATGTAACTCTTAGTAAATTTGCTGTGACACCCTGGGGCACAAAGGCATACAGTTTTAAAACTAATAGATGTACCACAAACTGAGAATGTTTGGGAATCTCTGATCTAGTAATTTTTTAAAAACTTTACTGGTTAATGTTTTGAGTTACTATGTAGTGTAGTAATTACAGTAATTACAGATGTATATAAGTATATTTTATGTATTTGCAGATATAAATTAGTACAATAGATAGAAAGATGCAAGAGGGAATGGTACATAATGAATAACTAAGTGATCAAAGTACTGAAAGTTTTGTGGGTGAATATAAAGAAAGATTTTTCCTTTCCTATGTTGTTATGCCAATGCATTTCCTAACTGCACTTTGTCTCAGTTCTTTCCCAATTTAATTTCAAATTTTGGTTCTTATTCATAGAGCCCTTAATATCTTGGAAGTAGCTTTCCTAAACAATTAGTGTGCTCAAGATGTTCCTGCTAGTGAAATGAAGTGAGTGGTTACTAAAGACAGGACCATTTAGTAGTTATGAAACAAGATATCCAGAGAGGCTCAGCTGATTCAACCAGGCCTTTTAAGCAACACTCAGAATCTGAAATATTTATTTAGAGAGACCAATTATTTGTTTTACTCTATCATAGTTATAAGGAGAGTTTGGGTGCTAATTTTTACTAAGGCTATTTTTAATTGAGGGGACATATATTGCGAATATTATATGTTGGTTTCTTACAAACCACCAAAAAGGATTATGTGTTGCTAAATGGACATACAAATGCACTATATCAAATCAAAATTTTCTTTTTCCCCCCAAGGAGTGCGGATGTTAGATGGTGATGTTACAGACATGGTAGAAGCAAAATCATTGAGCCTCAATCCCCAGCATATACATATCTACAGCGCTAGCTGGGGTCCTGATGATGATGGAAAAACAGTTGATGGACCAGCCTCTTTAACACGCCAGGCCTTTGAGAATGGGGTCAGAACGGTATGTTATACACACATCTCTGCATAAATTATTACTATTATTATTATTATTATTATTATTATTATTATTATTATTATTATTATTATTATTATTATTATTATTATTATTATTATTATTATTACATTGATCATAGCACAGTCAGCCAGATGTTCAGACTGGATTTGGCATTTTTATCTACCTATCGAGTCCTTACCAAGGACCTGGGATAGGCAGATGTGGATGTGGATATCTGTATTACAGATATTGTCACAGGATGGAAGCACTTCCTAGTAACGCCACCTTTTGCAATTAACTGATGATGAATTTGTCAATAATGATGATGATGATGATGATGATTATGTAATAGAAGCATATTGATCTTATTAAAAATAAAATCAATAAGAATGCTTCCAGGACAGGATGTCAGGATTGAAATCCAGGATCCAAATAAGTATTCCCCAAAATTAGAGATCAATTGATAGTAACATCAGCAGCAAAAATGCCATCTACACCAACATAGGGATCCTGGAATCCACCAGCTCTTCTGAAGATCACTGCAACTTTCTTCTTTCTTCTTATTGTGAAAAGCATTTTTCAATTAAGATTGGGCATGTTGGCATGTGCATGATTTTTTTTATTTTTGGTGCCTTCAAGCTGGTCTTGAATTCTGGTCACTACATGTACAAGTCCATTAGAGCAAACAGGATCTCTTATGCATTATTACAGATGTATATAAGTAAACATATACATAAAATCATTTTTCAGGATATACACACATGCACACATATACTTTTACAAAAAATGTTTATTCTTGAAGAACCCTATAGTGTAGGTAAACCAGGAATAGACTGGCCCAGTGTCAAGAGTGAATCATGGGTAACTAGTTTATTTGGATATTCAAGCTGCTGTTGACACCCAGCTTGATTAGTGCTTCAATAAGATTATTATGAGAACAGGCACAGTGATGCCACTAGCATTCCACACTTCAAGTATTGGGCCAGATAGATACAGATAAAGAATAATATACTAATAGCACTAGTAAAAAGCAGCATCCCAAACTCTTCAGTACATGGGAGAAAACAAGAGAAAAAAATTCTGACTATAATTCAAATGACAAACTGCTCATGACTCCATGGGCACCATTGTTCAATGATAATATTGTGGGTATAGATAAATTAAGATCAAACAAGAAATGTTCCAATAATTCTGAACAGCAAGATATAAATACCAGGTGGTTCCCACCCCTTCCCAATTCAATCATATCCAATTCTCTAGACAAAGTCCCTGCAGTTTTCTTGAAAAGGGTTTTGGGAGGTGGTTTGCCATTGCCTCCTTCCTAGATTGAGAGAAAGTGTTACCCAGCTGGCTTTACGCCTAAGGTGGAACTAGAATTCATGGTTTCCTGATTCTTACCCTGATGCTTTAACCATTACACCAAAACCAGGTTGTCCTCCTGTAATGACTGCCCTGTTTAGCCACTGTTTTAAGTTATGACAGTTAATGTGATCGAGTTTGCAACCAGCAGGGATTTACTACTTTGCAGCATCCTGCATTCACCTGAACACTTATTTGCATGCTTCAAAGCTGGCTTCACACAAGCAGAATCAATGGAGAATCTGTCAGTAAAATTGGAAGTTACCGTGACATGATATCTCGCATAATGACCTTATTGATTAGAGAAGGAGTAATTGGTCTCAATTTTGATAGTTACATGAACATCACATGTAGTTGTATTCTGTAAATAGCACTAGACTTCTGTTTAATTAAAGTTGCAAATGTCTGTAATAATCTGGCAGAAAAGAAATATATTTTCAGTTATGTAAAGAGAAAATGTCATTACTTTTACAAATGAAGGTTCATGTAACATCTGTTTATAATTATCGTAAATAAAGTGAAGTCACAATTGTTCCCTGCAAGCTAATGAACTGGAGAGTATAATTTGCAGCACATTTTCAGTAATACAATAATGTATAACTATTTATAGGGGAAGTGGTTTTTTTGTTTTTAAGAATTGGCATAGTTTTCACTTAATGAATTCTTGATAATTGCGATTGAGCCAACACTTTATTTATCAAAAAGTTTTGGCAATAGAATTTCAAGTTTCTATCATTTGCACAACTAATTAAGGCCTGGTAAATTAAATTAAGCACTCAGTTCAGCAGATTGTTCATGGGTGTAGTCCATTTCTATTATTTGGAAAAAGATGTTAATTGTATCTTTACATTTTCCTTGCCCAGAGGCTTCATTTAAAAAAAGTATGACATCAACTCTATCTGTTCACATTTGCTGAAGTTATAACATTAATCTACACTAACTTATTAACACAAAATATCCAAAAAAATGTTACTGTATTATACTGAGTTTGAAAAGTATGCAGGGAAGAAATGGAAAGTGACTAGAGAAAACAATGTACACATGACACCCATTACATTACATGTACAGTATGTTGCTATGTGGTTACTAAGAGTGAACACCAACTTGATCTCATATAATCAGTCAATGTTGCTACTTGCTCTGGCAAATCTTGATCCAAACTAAAAGAACGTGAAACTGTTGTTGATTCAATATTTCCATAGTTATAGAAAAAACAATAATTTTTACAATAAGCTTTGGTTTCACATGTAAAATGGAGCTGTGCAGTGCTTTGAATTCAGTTCTGGAAGGGTGCTTCCAAATGTACAAGTAGTCCTTGACTTTCTACCACAATTGAGCCCAAAATTTATGTTGCTAAGCAAAACAGTTGTTAAGTGACTTTTGCACATATTACGACTTTCTTGCCATAATTCTTAAGTGAATCACTGCAGTTGTTAAATTTGTAATATAGTTGTTAAGTGAATCTGGTTTCCTCATTGACTTTGCTTGTCAGAAGGTTGCAAAAGGTTATTCATGATCCCAGAACTTTGCAACCATCCTAAATATGAGTCAGTTGCCAAGCATCCGAATTTTGATCATGTGACCATGGAGAAGCTGCAATGGCTGTACGTGTGAAAAATGGTTATAAGTTGCCTTTTTCAGTGCTTGTTGTAATTTGGAATGGTCATTAAACTGTAGTGTTTAGTGTAAATCGAAGAGAGACTGCTACGTAGCTTCTGGAGCACCCATGCTATTCTGGAAAGAGAAGTTGCCAATAGATACTGAATTCATTAACCTGCAAGACATGAAACAGCATTTCAGAAACAAATCTAAATAATTGCATGGCACTGCTCTAAAATCTGTGAAGAAAAATCAGCAATGAAAGTTTCTCAAAGAACTGTGGCTTTGATACAATAAAATGTATTCTGTTTTAAAAGCCTGGGTTAAAATAATGTGAGCTTCCTAAAACATAAATAAAAGAATTACATAATACATGCCACCTCTTTCTACTTTAGGCCATCCAGTATTAATAAATATTTTTATGTATTATTATACTAGATAATGTTCTCTTCTATATTTTTATTGCCAAAATTAGTTATTAAACTATTTTTTCTTAGCCATAGTAGGAATCTGTGGAAGCTTTTTTAAAGAAATGCAGTAAGTCTAATCAAGAATAAAGCTGGAGTGGAAAATGTTTGGGAAATAGGGATCTCAAGAATACTGTTTACAACAGGAGTGTCAAACTGCCAGCCCACGGGCCAGTTTCATCATACCGAAGCCGTGCCCACCCCATTGCCGGCAATGCAAAAAGAGTCACGATACATCACATGACGTGGCGAGTTTGACACCCTTGGTATACAAGATGGGCTTTTGTAAGTGTAAATGCAGGGTTCTAGACTCTAAACAAGTATGCATGTATGTAAGTAGGTATGTATGTAGATAGGTATATATCTTGTACAAAACTCAGGGCATCTCATAACCAAAACACTGTAAAATTGTACAAAAGGAAAGAAAAAACTTTTATCAACATTATTTTGTGAGAGATACCAATGAAAAAATGGCTGATCTAGGAAGTAAGAGTGTCTTAAATGACAGACAGTATCATTCCTCAAAATACTTTTCCTTTTCATAGAACCAATTCAACCACCTGATTAAATATGAATAAGCAGAAGGGATAATAGCTTTAGTGTAAATGAAAGACATCTCTTGGTGAATTGGATCAAGCAAAGTTAAAAGCATATTTGTACACTATTTATTTTTCTGCCTTTAGTGCACTGACATAAAATAACCTGGAACTATACATGTGCACCATATTCTTTCATCAGAATGTAAATAGCATTTGTCCAATTGGTTTGATGTGTCTTCAACTTGCGGATATTGAAAATGTGTGTGTTTTTTACCTGTTTGTTCAATTCTTCTGGCTGTTTAACTTAGCTGAGGAAGGACTGACCTTGCTTGAGGGAGGTAATTAAAGAAGGCAATGGTAAAGCCTTTACTAATGAAATCTTAGACTAATTGATTAGAAAGCAAATAATTCCTTTAAGAAATGATAGCTTGGCAAAATTTGATTATATCCTAGATTCATTTCAGTTGGACCTTTAAACAAGATATGGCCCCTTTGATGGATTATTTATTCTTTAAAAAGGAAAGACCCTGATATCCTTTTGGAGGATCTGATGTCCTTTTGTTTTGGTGGTGTTGTATTTCACAGTGGTTCCATCCTGATCATTCCTTTGAATTGTGTTTTATGGAGAATCCACTGGGATAAATCCTCTTTAGCATGGAATGAAATCCCATGGCCCTCATTCCACTGCTCCTTGTTATCTAATGCTAAGGAATTGGTTATTACATTTGATTTGTGTCCACCACAGTTGAGATTCTAGACAGTATCTTCATATACAACCCAATGAAATATTGTAATACATAAAATAAAAATAACAATATATGTAATAGAATTAAACATGCATAATGCACACATAAAACAAAATGAAGACAAACATTCAGCAATTAACATAACAACATAACCAATAAGATTGATGGCTAAACTTCATAAGCCAAATTTTCTCTGGAATAATTATATTTTTATTAGCTTGTGCAAAGTCAAATTTGTGGGCAGAGATTATTTCAGGGCAAAGACACAGGAATAGAAAACCAGTGCCCTCACCTCT